TAATGTGATAGTTTCTGTTTAAATCAGAATTTTTATTGTCCATCATTTAGATACTTGATATTATTACATACAAGTTCTTTATTATTGAAAATTTGTAGTTTGTGATACATATACTTGTGCTCTAACTTTTCTGCATACATCATGTTATTTTGGAGCTTGTTGTTGTGCCTTATTTGATATATCAAGTGTGATCAGACATTGTAATAAGTTGATAAATTTTCTGTTATAAATCTGAGATATTGCATTGCTTGTTTAAAGTAAAATGCGTGTGTGTGAAAAATCTGTCCTGAGTGTGTAGGCGCAACCGAGTGGGTTGCTACCTTGTGCTTGGCTTGAGAGTGTGTCTCAAGGCCTGGAGCCTCAAGAATGCACTAGGGAGAATAGAGCTCTTGTGTGAGAGGAGTTAGTGAACTACATAGGTTCAGCTTGAGAGTATTCTCAGAGCTTGGAGCTATAACACCTGATAGTTAAAATAAGGATTAGATAGTAGGATTAGTGAAAATTCTGAGTTCTGGGTCAAAATACGTAAAAAAGATAAAATGGTAATTTGACAAGCACGTAACCCTAAATAGTAAAATGTTAGTAGAAGATCTCAAATGGAAAAAATAACCCTGAAAATGGATTCAGAAAAAATAGTAGTTGTGGAGCATATGGAGAGCATGATATTTTTTGTCATTTTGCATTTTGGGTTGTACTTGATAGGCTAGACTTAGTGCATGAACATTTGAGTTGCATGAGTTATGTATTTTGTTGTTCATGTAGTCTTATTTTAGCTAAGTCTAGAATTGATGTATTTATATGTATTTGAAGTATTTCAATTGTAGTTATATTTGGAGAAATGTAATTAAAGTATGATGAACCTTGTGTAATTTATAAAGCATGTATTCACGGAAGGGCAATAGATCTATTCTAGGTTATTAATTATATTAATGATATGAATGCATGAAAGGAAATTATGTGATTGCAATGAGTTTAAAGTTGTAAATGAAGTTAAGCAATTAATTATAAAGTTAATGATAATGATGTAAAAATATTGTGGGTTGTAAGAGCACCAAAGTTTGTTGATCCTTGTGTGCCACCCTTGTCAATTAGGTACATTTTGAGGAATTAGAACACACTTTGGTAAAGTGGGATAAGTTAAATAAAGAAAGAAGATGTCGTCGAATCTTCTAATAAATGAACAATTTTTAGGCCAACTTTGAGAGAACATATCTCCCTCCACAGAAGTTCAATTGGGACGTTCCATACACCATTTTAAAGGTTGAGATGTCAGCTGCGTTGTGTCAAAATTTGGTACCATTTGGAGTTATATAGAACCCTGTGGAATGAAAAAAACACAGACTGCCCAAGGAGATCCAGTGCAGGGGCTGTTCGGGCCAATCACTTCCAAAAATTGTTTCTCTCTCAATTGGTTTATTAAATTGTCCAGAATTGCATAAATCGCCAGGGAGGTTGGGTGCTCTATTTTAGGTTGGCTGGAAGTTTTGTTGTCCAACTTCAAACGGTTATAACCGGAGCTAGAGAACTCCAATTGATATGTGTGATACTTTGTTGGAAAGATAATTGAATCTAGTTTAACATACAAAAAGATGAGAAATTAATAAGAAGTAGATTGCGCACAATGATAAAAAAGCATAAGCATGTTCAGTGTAGAAAAAGTGATTAAATGCCAATTTTCGCAATTTAGTAAGTGAAACTAAAACATAAATTGCATTTATTTTAAACTTATTCAAGTCTCACACTTTTAGCTATGATTTTTTTCTTTTACAAACTCGTTCAAAAAAATATCCGACTTATGTCTTAAATGAGAATATGGTTAACCGTGATTTAAAAAGAAGTATCCTGAAGTAGCTTTTGCACTCCAAGCGAATAAAATTAGAATATAAATCACTTCACTTTTAAATAAAATTAATTTTATAAAATTAAGTTTGCAAAAAAAAAACTTATTCAAATATGCATTTATTGTCATAGATTTCATCACATTATATTTATTCACATTAACACATGATAACACACGGGTCGGATGCAGAGATGCTCCCCATAATAAATGTTATGAGAAGATATTTGGTGGGCCTGGATCATGGTGGTCCTTTTCCAAAATAAAAAAAAAAGAAGAGATAGAAGGGAAAAAAATCAAAAAAAGAGGGATAGAAATGGAAGAATTTTTTTCAATTATGGAAAAGGGACCACTGAATAAGTAGGGGTAGCAATATGTGTTGAACCCGGCGGGTCAACCCGCCAAAATGGGGCGGGGCGGGTTACATACCTCAACCCATCAACCCACCTCAACCCGCTCCGTCAAGTAGCAGGTTAACACGGGTTATGGGCGGGGCGGGGCGGGTTAACCCGCGGGTTTTTATTATTTTATTTTATTTAAAAATATTAAAAATATATAACGTTATCATTCACAGATTCACCTCGTTTTTTTTTCTGATTCTGATCTGAAACCCTAAGAGCTCCTCCAAGGCTCCAACTTTAGTCCTCCGCCTCCTAACCTCCTTCTTCGGACCTCACAGTCTCTGGTCTCGTCTCTGCCTCTCACTCTCACTCTCGCAGCACTCACTCCAAGTCTCCAAGGCTCCAACGTTAGCACTCACTCACTTTATCTGGTATTCTGGCAATCTCTTTCTCACTCACTTTATTCGAATTTTTTTTCTAATCTTTCTCCTTGACTGTGACAGTGGCTCATCGGTGTAAGGGAAAAACTCATTTGAGATCTGTGCTCGGCAGTGATCTGTTTTTAACACTTGGAATATTAATTCAGGTATATTCAAAATATTGAGTTTGACATGTCCATCTTATAGAACTTGATTGGGTATTTAAATTTAATGTTAATTTTCCTATTGAAGTATTTGATATATTGTGCATTTGATGCTACTGGAAGTATATATTTTGAACTCCTATAACATATGCATGATCTTAATCTCTTTTAAATTTCTTGTAAATATTTTATTAGATCTTGTTGCTTATGTTTTCATGTCTTCGCTTTCAATTTGTTATTTTGAAATCTGTTATTTTGAACCCTAAAAGCACCAATTTGTTATTTTGAACCATTCCACTGTTTTTTTCCTATATAGAAAAAAGAAGAACCATTCTGGTTTTATTCTCATATATTATGTTATTATTTTGCTAAATGCCAGACAATTAACTCCACCAAGACAATTCTTTCACCAGGTTTAATCTTCTAAATTACCCTGCACTTCTGAGTTAGAAACATAATTTAAAGAGTTTTTCACTCTTTCTGCATTATAACTGTTTTATAACTGACTTTGATTTTAGTCTTAATGTCTTTACTTAGCTTAGCTATTTAACTCTACGGTGGTGCTCATGGTAGCTTATTACACTAACACAAGTTCACTGCCAGGATCTTGGAATATTTTTTTTCTTGTAATTAACAGAATGCGAAAGTATCATGTAGCATTAATTAATATATCAAATTTAAGATTGATTATGTTGGCTTCTTGGAAGTGAATCACTATTAGGGTGGAACTGCTAAAGCCATTTACTGGTTAGGTTGGATTAGAGTTTTGAATCTGCTTCTTAATTTTGGGACATACTTTTAGATGTGCACTGAAAAGAAATGTCTGTAGAAGATGAATAATTGACTATAAGAAGATGATAAAAAGAAAAGCCATATCTTGTGGGGAAAAAAAAGATTCTATGAAATATAAAATTTTACAATGTTCTAAGCTGCAGGCTGGGTTTGAAATTTTTTCTATGATTTGTTAATTGTGTAAAATTGTTGATGCCTTGGCTGCTTTGGATGGAAATTTACTCCAGATTTCATAATTATCCAGGGTGCATTGAGATTATTTTAGGCACCGTGTCCTCGTTTGATTTGCTGAGTGTGCTCGTTTTGATTTGTGAATTATTTTAGGCACTGTGTCCGCATCTGTATTTGACCAAGATTAAACCTGGTGAAAGAATTGTCTTGGTGGAATTAATTTTCCCTTATAGATTTCTCTTGTCCGCATCTGTGTGCTCGTTTACAATGATCTTATTCTGGGTTTTTTTCGCTTTCATAGCTTATGTTATTATTTTGATAAATTAACCCATATATTATGCATTCAGTTTCATTGTTGTTCCATTATTATTAATCCGTCTCCTTTTTCTTCTTCTTATTATTAGTCTTTATATTGTCCAAGTATTGTTGGGTATTACTTAAAACGTGAGGGATATATGTTTAGTTCTCATTTAGCAATATCTAACCCCTAAAGAAAACAAAAAGTCTTTGTCCCCTCTAAATAAGGGATTACATGGCATAATGATAATTAGTTACGCAATCTAAGGCTTGACTTTCATATATTTGAAAGTTTTGTTTTTGTTCATTTTTGAGGTATAAAGCATGAATGAGAATACTCTGTTTTGGTTCCTTTAAAATATGTACTATGTTCATAATTAATTACTTCTTATGTGAACGATTTTTAGATATTCAAACTTGAATTATTATGCACATAAATTTTATGAACCTATTTAAACTTGCTCTGAAAGATTTAAATAAAGCCGTTTGCAAGTTATATAAATTTGGGTACATAGTTCGAACAACAATACCACGCAAGACTGTGAATTTTAGCAAGGGCTATTGTGAAGTCAGAAGAAACAAAAAAGGATCCTTTTGGCTTTGGTTCATTGAAACTCATTGTTCAATATGAGGCTCTTTGGTAGTGAGTAATGTCTGCATTACATAATCAAACTCATTTGACAATATCTGCATCATACTATAAGCTTTGTTTCCTCTAGAGGCTTTGTTTGTGATGAGTAATAGCTTTAGAAGTGAGTTTATGTGGTTGTGATATTTCAATATCTTATTATCTTACTACATTTCAGGCCTATCTTATGGAATCAGTTAATAATACTATTGATGTTGATTCTGAAAATTTGGACATTGAGATTGAAGAAGGGTCTCAATCGGTTGAACCGACTAAAAAAAAGCCAAGTCAAGAACATCAGAGTGTTGGAAATATTTCACAAACATAGGACCGGGTGAAGATGGAATTGATATGGCAAGATGCAATGCTTGTAAGCAAGAGTACAAAGTGGGTGGAAAGCAGTATGGTACGTCAAGTTTAAACCGTCACTTACCTAAGTGCAAACAAATAAAATTTGAAGATGTTGGTCAAGTCATGATAGATATGCAAGGCAAACTAAAGTCTATGAAAATAGATCAAAGGATATCACGTGAGATGTTTTCTGAAGCGATTATTGAACACGGTATGCCCTTTAAGTTTGCTGAGTATAAGAAGTTTAGGCGTTGGCATTCTTACCTCTGTCCTGATTTGATTCACATTTCTAGAAATACTCTTAAAAAAGAAGTCTTCAGTTCTTACTTGAAAGAGAAAGAAAAGCTTAAAAACACATTGGCTACCATCCGTAATAGGATATGCTTAACTTCGGACTTGTGGACAGCCGTTAACGGTAATGGTTACATATGTTTAACTGCACATTATGTTGATACAAAGTGGAAGCTAAACAACAAAATTCTCAACTTCTGTCACGTGCCTCCTCCTCACACTGGATTTGAGTTGTCACAACAAATACTTGATATGCTGAAGGACTGGGAAATAGAGAAGAAGATTTTTAGCATTACTTTGGATAATGCATCTGCCAATGATACTATGGTAGGTCTTTTGAGAAGTCAACTCAATATGCAAAATTGGTTGTTATGTGATGGAGCTTTTTTTCATGTGCGTTGTTCTGCACACATATTAAATCTGATTGTTCAGGAAGGATTGAAAGTTTCTAGTGATGCTTTGAATAGAATCAGAGAGAGTGTCAGATATGTAAGGAGTTCAGAAGGTAGAATGAAAAAGTTTAAAGAATGCATGGAACAAGTTGGGGATGATAATGCTTTAAATGGGATGTGTGTAGATTGCCCTACCAGATGGAATTTCACTTATTTGATGCTTGACGGTGCTGTCAAATATCAACGTGTGTTTGCAATTCTCCAGTTGAATGATAGAAATTTTAAAGATTGTCCTTTAGCAGATGATTGGAAAAAAGGAGAGAATCTTTGTCGGTTCTTGCAGCCATTTTTGAGATAACCAATTTGATTTCTGGCACTTCTTATCCTACTTCCAACTTGTATTTTCTGCAAGTTTGGAAAATTCAGCGTGTTCTAATTCGTATGAGAAATGATAAAGATGAAGTTGTAAAGAGCATGGCTGAAAGGATGATGGTGAAGTTTGAGAAATATTGGAATGAGTATAGTGTTGTGCTTGCACTAGGAGCAGTTCTTGACCCTCGCATGAAGTTTTCTACATTATCATTGTTATTCAAAGATTGATGCTAGTACATCTAATGAAAAAGTAGAAAAGATAAGGATAAAGTTGTATGAGCTCTTTGACAATTATGCAAGAACTTCTTCTTCCAATGTCAATGTTCAAGGTGATGTCAGCTCAAGATCTTCAAGTCAAGGGTCAAAGGATAAGAAGGGGTGGTCTGATGATTTCATTGATGTAAGTTTATCTATATTTTAACATGATAATTTAATTAGTGTATTTTTTAAAATTTATCATATTTTAATTTTCATGTGTTTTCACTTGTCAAATATGATTGATAGGAATTGAAAATGCACAACCATGACCTTGCAATTAATGCTGGAAGGTCTTAACTTGATGCTTATTTGGATGAGACTGCATTGGTTTTTGCACATTGGGAAAGTTTAGATACATTGCAATGGTGGAAGGATAACAGAGCTCGCTACCCGGATCTCTCAGTAATGGCGCGTGATTTGTTAAGCATTCCCATCACAACTGTAGCGTCTGAATCTGCATTTAGCATTGGGGCACACGTCTTTAACAAATATAGAAATAGGATGGTATCAAAGAATGTATCAGCTTTGATTTGTACCCGCAATTGGTGCGCCGGTTTTGTCAGTGATGGTAATTTATTTAATTTAAATAAAATTATAATTTCATTTTAATTCATGATTGTTTGTCAATTTGACAATTCCACTTTTTCAATTTTTTTATGTAGATGAAAGTAGTGACGACGACGACGATGACGACGACGACGACAACAACAATGATGACAACAAGATTTCAAGAGGAGGAGCGTGTTCTAAAGGAGCATCTAATGTTGTTTAATATTTGATATGGAAGAGAATTGTGATTTGCGATTGGTGGTTTTCATTTATCTGTGTTGATGGATTTAAATATGACTGTGTGGGTGTTATTTTATTATTATATTTGGATTTTGGATTGAAATTATTCTTGTGTCTGGTTGTTGTTGGATTTAAATATGATTGTGTAGTGTGGGTGTTGTTTTATTATTATATTTGGATTTCTAATTGAAATTAGTTCTTGTCTAGTTGTTGTTGGATTTAAATATGATTCTGTGGGTGTTGTTTTAATATTATATTTGGATTATTTGCATGAGCTGACACTAGACAACAGATAAAAGGGTACATTCCAAATAAGACATTATATAATAAAATGTTAAAAGTTTAAGTAACGCTAATTGGTCCAAGCAGGAATGAACCAGTGGATGAATTATTTTGTTCCATGGTTTTAGCCTTTGAAGATTTCATCTGGGGATGTATCCACATAGCCACACCTTCATGTTCTGCAGCTGGTTCAACTTTATAGTAACTATCAGAATTTTCTTTCTTATTTGATTTGGTTTCTTGTTGAAAGCAGGCTATGCGCCCTAGCAATGACAAAGTGGCATCTTTCTCAACTGAATCTCCTAGCTTGCAATTTGATGTAATTATATACATGTATATTCTAATAAATCATTTATAAAATTTTTTTCGAATTAATATTTTGGCGGGTCAACCTGTCAATCCGCCAACCCAATTATTTTTTTGGTGAGATGCAGGTCAACCCGCCAACCCGCAACCCACTTTAAAACGGAGTGGGTTCAACTTTTCAACCCACCATCCAAATGCGGGTCAACCCGCCCCGCCTCGTTTTTGGCGGGTTGATGGCGGGTCAGGACGAGTCGGCCCGTTTTGCCACCCCTATTAATAAGTGGTGGACCTGAAACATATTAAATTTTTTCTAGATGTTATAAGCACGTTTTCTTATAACATCTGTGTTGCAAATCTCAAAATTTTATTTTCACACTTTTTTTTATGTCATTGAAAGATCGAAATAAAGAGAAGTCGTGTCAAAGCTCGGATAGGGAGGAAAGTGATCAAAAGGTCTACAAGGCTATGTAGTAATAACGGTAGCTAGTTCTATTTACACCACTCATTTATGTTGTTCCAAAACATAATTGAAAAACAAAATAGTCAAGAATGTAATAAGTAATAACAATGAGAGAAGTATTTGTCATCTAAATGACATGAAGTTACGTTATTTTAAGAGAGATACAGACACAAAAAATTTAAATTTTAAATTAAAAAAAACCACTCATTTTCACTCTCCCATGATTTCCGTTTTTCTGTGTCTATCTCTCTCTTAAAATGACATAACTTATGTCATTTAAAATGACAAACACCAAATCCAATAACAATATAATACATTAAAATATCAGTATCTTTCTTTCGTTGGTTTGCCTTGAGGAAGGAAGGAACGAACTGTCTACTCGACAACAGACTGGTTATTCATCTTGTTTGCCTCCACTGTAGGCTGAGCAGGAGTGTATTATGCTTCGTTTAGTAATTTTGCAATGTGTGTTCTTTTAGTACCACATTGACGACAGTTAAACAAATTCCGTTGTTTATAAACAACTATGCAACCCTTTGGGAACATCCGATAAAATTAGAACGATAAAGAAAAGATCAGCATGGCTCTTCGTCAAGGATGACGCGCACAAATCGAGAAATTGTCCAATTTTTTTTTCCATTTCTTCGGATTTCTCTGCTTGTTCATCTTATTCTGGTCTCTCGGGGTACATGGCTTCTCTTTTTAGGTTTTTTTATCGTTGATTTTGATAAGCTTACTAGTTGAGTGGGCATGTACCAAAGAAAACCAAGTGTCCTATAATGTGTCGGATCTCCCTTTCTCTCTTTGCTATATTTACTTAGGTTTCCTACACTTTCCGAGGTTTCTATAATAAAAATATAAATATTAGTGGTTATGGTTGACTGAAGACACTTATTAGAGTAAAAATCCTGACAAAAAAAATACGGTTTCCACTTTAGTCCCTTACAAAAATAAATTAGTAAGTTCTTAACAAATTCAAGGTGAACTCATTTTAGTCTTTTTCAGGGACTAATATGGGTTTTTCTTTTAATTTGTGAGGGATCACGATTTCAACTAATCGAGTCCACTTTGAATTTGTTAAGAACTAACTGACTAATTTATTTTCGTAAGAGACTAAAGTGAGTACAGTGTATTTTTGTTAGGGATTACTCCACTTATTATTTGGACAAAAACAAGTTTTTAAATAAAGGCTTTTGGATTATCTTTCAGTACACAGTATATATAATATGGGCATATCTGCACATTTGGGGTGCTGATTTGGTTATTGGATTTGACCAAGGCAATCTGGATGAGAGGGGTACAGAAGGGGGTTATATGATCTATTAATTCAAGCAGGATTATTAGTAGACTTGCACATTGCTAGAGATAAAGAATCAGAGAAACCAGAAGTTTTGGCCTCTGCAGAATATGAATAAACTGAGGAGATTGATTGGACTATGTTGTGTGGCTTTGTTCAGGGCTTCAGGCCTTGTGACCCTGTTCAACAGAACACTTGAGTTTGCGGTGCGTTCTCGACATCCATGCGTTTCACTCATTGAACGGGAATGTTTTTACATCCTCATTTGCAATTGTTGATTTGAAACTTGGCTTTGTTGATTGGAAGTTCATAAACTCTATTATGCAACATTATAGGATTGGCTGTAGCTGGGTTTATGGGTACATGGGTACACATTTTTCATTGTTATTTACACATAAAATTGTTGCTGCTCAATGCTCATGTCCTGATGTCCATTCTAAACAAGTCGATTGCATCATGAATTGCTCTTAGCTCCTTGGTACTAGTAACTTGAAATTTAATCTAATGGCAAGTGAAAAGGGGAACTCAGTAGCCCTTTCCTGCGAAGAATTTATGCTCTTAAGATTTGTTTTTTTAATTATTACTTTTTTAAAAGTAGTTTTTATGGCAGTATGCAAATGTGAAGCAGCATAACTGGAGTGTTCAATTACAGTTTTATATTATTGTTCGTAGTTCAGTAATAATTAATTTACCATTTTGATTTTCCTGTGCAAGTTTAAGAAAAGATCAGGCTGCAAAGGAAGGAAGAAAGTTAGTAGAGACTATATTTCATATTGGAATGATAAGGAAGCTCTGTAATCTTGCATTATAGTTTCACCTCGGCCAGTCAAGAAGGCAGCAGAGCATGTAGCAGCAGAGCATGTAGCAGCAATAAAAGCCACAGCCAGACACTCTACAAAGCATACCTTTCTCGGCCTTTTGGCTAAGATCAAGTGTAGTATCTGTTCTTATCAGTTTAATATCTGATACGTGGACCATTGGTTCACATGATATTAAATTTGTTTTTTAAAGGGAAGAGTCCATCACCATAGCTTGCTACTGGTTCTCTCAAGTGTCGCCCATGCTTTTTTGCACTACTGCACGGGCTTGGCGCACCCCACCAAATCTAAGTGAAAATTATTCAGAGTCGGGAGAGGCCTTGTGCACTTAACTAATTAGGATTTTTCCTATTATGAAGTTAAATTAATCGTAATATGCAGGGTTATTTTTTTTATGTCATTAAAACTAGTGTTATTTCTGTACCTAATTCCATATTTACTATTCACAATTGCACCCTTAATTTCTGAAAAATACAACATATTTTTGTGTTTGTTTCCTTTGGTTCTTTTATTATAAACCCAGTTTTATTACGATATAGCACAACCTCATGTTGTTCCTTAGGGAGAAGTTGACATAAAGGACACCAATCTAGAAATGGTCATTTTTAAATTTTTCCATTTCATGCCTCTTTGGTATATTTCATTTTCTGCATTTTTATTTCGATGGGTATGGCTCTTCTCTTTTCAGGCATTTTTATCACTGTCCATGCCTACTTGTGAGCGTATAATGCACTTCTTCGGGACGAATACAACACTGCTAGGAATAGTGGCCTTGTGTTTTTAAAAGGGGAAGTCTCCTGCGCGATGCAAAGATAATAAGTTGTCATAACTCGCAAGTTTCTCATCTTTTGAATGAGGAAGCATATGTTTTAAGGTTTTATATTTTACGAAAGCATGTAACGGAAATAGTTTGTCCCGTTTATTCAGTTTGTAGGAAAGGATGCTGCTTGTCTTTGACTCTATAAGGTAATAGATAGTAGCACTCTTAGATGTTTGATGATCAGTGCTTTAAGTATGTAAAGATTCAATATTGTCATGTTACATAATTGATTAAAAAATCTCTAGTGTGTTCTGTCCTAATTGTCTAGGATCTGAAAGTGTCGCCATCTGCGATTTTGCTACCTGCTAAATTGACATCATAACTACCACTTTGGGCATAAAAACGAATTGTACAACTTATCATATTTTTTTATGTGCAATATTTGAATAAGAGTAACATTAGTTGCTCATAATGCACTGCTATGGAGGAATAAGAGATTTATATAAAAATAAAAAGGAAAAATTTCAAAAAATCACCTATAATTTTTCTCAATTATCGGTTACCTTTTTCACAAAATTTTTGAATTATTTGCACTCTTATTTAATTTTTTTTCACTTATCTCCTGACTTAAAGTTTTTTTATCGCTTACCCCTCACTTAGGGGTGTGAATGATAAAAAAAAATTAAGTCAGCAGGTAAATGATTCAAAATTTTGAAAATGAGATAAATGATTATGAAGAAAGTTACAAGAAATTTTTGAAGTTTTTCTCAAATAAAAATAAGGAATTATAAATGTTATGTTATAGGAAAAATGAAAGTTATTCCTGCACTAATAAAAACTTGTGAATCCCACTGACTAAAAGAAATTTTAAAAAACAAAATAAAAAAATCACGACAATCAATGATACAAACAACACCCATAAAAATAATGGTATAAATTAAAACATGGTCAGTGCTATTTTAAATTAGTTTTGCTTTTATGTTTCTTTTCATAAATTCAATTTAAGCATTTGCACTTTGTGTTTTTGAAATTTTCACCAAAAAAATCCTTGTGGAAACAATAACTGAGACTCAAACAAGTCCTATATTATTTATTGTTGCGTATACTTGCGCGCATACTTGCATAAATGTTAGCACTTATACAAAATTGTGTGTTAAAATATCAAATGGTAAGAGTAATATCGGGCTCAATCTATACTGATAATCCTACACCAACACTACCTAATTGAGAGTTTCATTTCTTTCTTTTCCTCATTTTCTACTTAACCCTATAATTTCAACACCTAAAAATTCATTTTTCCAGCTATGTGTATAGCCCTTTTTGCTAGATAAATTGATACAAAAATGGACCAAGAAAACTTGAATGCGAAAAGAATGATGTAACGAATTCTGTACTAATAATTATTAATGTAAACCAAAAAAGAATACAATGAAATATGTCTTCCAAAGGCTACAAATTGAATGTAATGGTTCTCACAACATCTTTCCTTGAGTTACAGTAATTCATAAGGGAATCCATATCAACCGTGCCAAGTCCAGATAGTTGGATACCATAGGAAGCAAGACGATTGATATCACGTGGAGTAGGAGACTGCCAAAGGCCATCCCACCAAGCAGGAGGGAGAAGTGGTGTGAATGCGCACTGATTGGTCTGGCCAGGACAACTTAATGGTCCAGAATATCTGTTCCACACATGACCCCAACCAATCTGATTCTTTAAACCATCAACCAATAAATTACTCTGGAAACTGCTAAAAAATGAAAAACTTGAACCTGACGAGTTGCCTCCTGAAGAAAAGAATTTTCACATTCTTCAGCAGTATGTTTTTGAAGAGACATTGCGAATCTGCAATTAATAATAAGAAATAATAGGAGATATGAATGTGGTGCAAGTACCCAGATTGCGTGATGCAGCCAGTGCAGCAATTAATTGAGCATAGGTAGTTCCAACACGCCGATGAGCTCCGGAAACAACAGCATATCTAGCACGAGATGCAAGAAAAAAATCTACAAAAGCAACCCATCTGGGTGCTGGACCCCAATCCTTCACTCTAAAATCTGACTTGGGCAAACCGTCATAAATACTTCCTTTAAACTTTTCATAATCAAAATGAAGAACCTGGTCAAAGCACATACGCATAAGAATCAAAAGCCCACGAATTTCACTGCATATATTGATGGTTGCCTCATACATCATCATGTTCAGAAAGTAAGTAATAAAAGACTAGATAATGAAGAAAATAAGTATTTAATACAGCAGATTGGCAACAAGGAAGATAGCAAATTGCAGTTCTAATTTCAGAGTGGTAATTTCCATTGTTACTGACTAATAAAAACAATTTCTTGCATTAAGAGTGGCATATGCTACACTCAAAAGATTCACGCACCAATATTTGCTTGCGAATTATCAGCCAATATGAACTGAAAAATTACCTCTGCAAATTCACTTATGTTGGGCATGATACTTTTAACAAGAGAAGGTGTATCTGACACCACAACCACCTTTGGTCTTGACATTAGGTGTTGACTCTGTATGGCTTTTTTAATGCAACGCAATGCAGCCTGTACAGCTCTTATGGACCTTAAAAAATGACAGAAGTAACATCAATAAGTTAAAGACATATCCTATGAGAAGTGTGAGCTGACCCATTCTTATCCAAAGAACAGATGAAGTTGGGATGTCGCATGGATATTGTATGAAATATGCATGTAAATACATGTGCTTTTCTGAAGGATGAAAGATACCTATTTCAAGAGTATATGAGGTACGGATAGGATACCAAAGTATAGTTCTTTCACTACTTAATACTATTTTATGATTGGCTGGGTTTTCATTTCGTACTTTTCGTTTATTATGTTATTTGTATATACTGTTATCCTATGTTATTGTCATTGAAGAACCTAAATCATTTGACACCTTCAAACAGAAATACCATGTTAGATGGCTTCATGAATGCCCTAACCCTAGTGTAAATACAGCAGCAAAGAATAAAGTGATTAAATTAATAGTTGATGCTCTTCTTTCTTCTTACTTTTTATTTATTTTTATCCAGTAGTTGAATGGGCATACAGAACTGGATGGTGTCAAAAGGATAGAGAGAGGATAGAAGGTGGGAATAGAGATCAATTTTGCTTCAAATATGCAATTTGACTAAGCAACATGTTGTTTGACTAGTTGGAGGTGTTCTGTCTGAGATATTAATTGACCTGTTTGAACAGTAATTGAAAAGCTACTTTTAAGATTTTGATATTAGAAATCTCTTCAATTTGCTTAATAATATCAAGAGATGCTACAACAGGGACCATGAGTTTCCTTATTCATTAATATATATTGCATATTCTAATGCATTTATATATGGTTTTAAATATTTTAGTTTACAATGATACTAAGGAAAGACAACAAAAAAAAGAGACTGGTTAGATTTTAAAACTTAATTGCCAATTGTATACACATATATGATATAACTATATGTGAGTGGCATGGTGAAGGCCATATACAAATTAAAAAGAGGTATTTGATGAAAATAAAAACAAAGAAGGAATCTCCATTGCTGATGGGCAACACTCGCTCCATTTAATATAGAAGGCAAGAGTATTACCAAACAAAAGAATAGCGTGGGGTGGAGGAATTACTATTGGGATGGAGGTATAGGGGGCAGAAACAGGAATCACGATACCCATCCCAAACCAATGCATGATTGATGCTATTCCTAACTATAATATGATTCATGTCAGGATAGATGGGTGGTAGGCTTCACCAGCCTCATTTATCAATCAAGCATGATAGTTCCCATTCAATGAAATCAGAGTGTACTCCATTACCTATTCATAAGCATCCGCATATGCAAAGAGATGTCAGGATTCTCCCCACCACCAATAACCCAATCAACAGCTGCCTCAACATCTTTTGAAGGGGATATGAGAACTCTCATGAGCTCCCCAAATACATTTGGTTTAGATCCCAGAACTTGTGGGTCACCAAATAAATCAAAAGCAGAAATCCTCATCTGTGAGTGTATATTCTTCAAGAAAAATTGAGCGGCCACAGCATCATTAGTTCCTTGAAACCTAAAACATAAGGGTTCATAATAACTACATGAAGCTTGAGAGACTGATAAGGAGAAAAACCATGTCACTTTACCATATGATAGGTTGCTTCCATTCCTTCCAATTGCTACAGAGAACATTTGTTTGAGCTGGCTTTTCAAAATCATCAGTCCTCATTACAAGTTGCCTCCCATATTTGCTTTCACAATCATTTTGTCTCCACAGATGCTTTATTTCTTTCATGGTAAAGGTAAAGTTGGAATAAGAAATGTAATCCCCAAAAGGATATTTGCCTCTGAAATGTAGAACCAAGGTGATAATCAGATAAAGGAAAGATAAATCTATGTCCTAATAGCAAAATTTGTGGATAATTTTAAGATGCTATATTGCAAGATAAGAGCAGTTTCGCAAATCCATCAATGGCAAAATGCTACAGGTTTACATATTTCAGTGGCCATAAACAATCTACGAAAACTGACAAAAGTGCATGAATATAGGTTGCTATTTGAATGTTGCAAATTGTTTCTACAACAAGATGTCAAGGCATGCTTAAAAAGTTAACACATTCATATGAGAGCCATAGGAAGTAGATGCTCTAAAGGGTAAGTTTGGTATGTCCTTAAAATTGAGGGCGAATGATTCAGATATTAGCTTTCCATAGAATTTTTCATGCAAAACTAGTCCTAAAAGGAACTATTAGTTAAAGGGATACCGCCAAACTAAACCCTAAAAGGAACTATTAGTTAAAATTTCAGTTATCATAAAAAAAGAACAAAAGTTAGTTCTTAAAAATGAAAAAGAAAGGCTTGGGAAAGAACCAATATGCCTGGTTTGGCCAATGATCAAGGACCGGTTTAACATTATACTCAGTGCTGCAGCAGTTAAGACCTTGTACATTTCATTCCCAAAACCTGCTTCGGCAGTCTTTCCCAGAACAAATCCATGACTACAGAACTCCTCGGGGGGCAAATCCCTGACTCTTGAAGCACCTGAAACAGAGTTTTTCAATGTTAACTTCTGATTTGAGAACTGTTTTTTGCAGAAATAAAAAGGTTCTTACATGTTTATGCAACGAATCTCACTGAGAGGTGCACAACTATCACTTTATTTAAGTATTCTTAAGAGAAAAATAAAAAATAAAATAGAAGAGTGAAAAAATGGCATAGATAATTACAGTTATGGTCCACAAACTACGAAGTGCATCCTTTAGAACAGAGCAATTGTCTTGAGTGTGAAATGGATTTATAATTATGCAAGCCGAAATTTACATACTACAGTCAAAAGCATAGAAACTAACTCGATAATTTGTCTCCAAACAAGAGACCATTTCTTCCGCAAGTTATGTTACACTAAAAAGCATTTTTAGCGAAATTTGGCACCTTCAATCAAAACAACAGAAGAAAAAACAAAAATAAAAAAGAAAAGAAAAGAAATTTGGACTCAGCACTACCAACAAACTAGTGTATTATTCATTTAGATCCTTCAAGTCTCACAAGAAACTCGAAAACAATTTGCAACTCCTTAAAACAAAGAAACTCGAAAACAGTCACTGCAAGATTCTAATGCTAGCAAAAGAACAGAAGCCGCAGAACAAGTGAATCTAACAAAGAATAAGTAACTACCGTTCACAACGAAATGATCATCGATAATTCTCCTCACTCTCAGGGCTTCCTTCTCTGTACCCGCTCCGAAATCATTCCCCATCTCTTCCACCGTCGCGCACGGTTTCTCCCTGACGATCTCCTCGGCGGCAGCGCCACCATCCAAACTGGAGCTGTTGAAATCTCCGAACTCGGAATCTCTCGGAAAATCGACCGTGATAGGAGGATCCAACGGCCTCAGCGCCAGTATCAAGAGCCCCACACCGGTCACAATCGCACACAAAACAAGAAACGGTTGCAACAGCATTCGCCTCCTTCTACCTCCGCCATATCTCATTCTCTCTCTCTCTCAGTTCAGCTAAGCTTAGCTTCCTCTTAACCCGGATCTGAACTGTGCTCTCTCTCTCTCCCAGTTCTATCACGTTTTGTTTAGTTTAGTTTACCATCACGCGTACACACAGATTTCTCGGGTTTGGATCCGACCCGAAACCACTTTGTTATTATGAGAATCTGGACCCGTTTGTGTGAGTGGCGCGCATTACGCACCGCCTCCGACAAAGAAGGCAATTCTGTCTCTCTCTCTCTCTCTCTCTATCTGTCGCCATCCATGATACAGAGTTAGTGGTGAAGCACAAACGAAACGACGTCGGAGAATAAATTAAGTAACGTCAACGGTCAACCCTTCTTATGGAGAGAAGAAAAGGACAGATAAAATAAATAAATTAATTAAATTTAAGAGAGAAAAAAAAAAAAAAAAAGGTAAAAAAACAAACCGATGATTCTCCTCAGTCCTCGCATTTATCATTTGGAAACACTTATTTTCTTTTTCCTTTCTCCGAGGTTGGAAAGATAACCGTCGTAACAACCTATCATGGAGAAGAACCTTGTTGAAAATTCCGGCAGTTTCGCTCGCAGAGACGAGCACAACAACAGCAGCAACAACGCCGGCGACACGCCGCGTTCTCCAATGCCGGACATTGCAGAAGTAGAAGTGGATCCCAAACCTGACGACGTCGGCGAAACCGCTGAAGCGGAAGAAGCACCGCCACAAGAACCAGAAGCGCAACCGGAAGAGGGAGATGATGAGAAGAACGAAGAGAAGAAAGAAGAGGAGGTGGTGGAGGAGGAGGAGTCTCCTCCCCCGAGCCTCGAGATGGTTTCAGATGAGATCGATCAATGGCTCCTGAATCTGCAGCAAAATAATAATGATGATGATGATAATTATAATAAAGAAGGGTCAGGGTCATTTGAGATCCCTAGTTTCGTGGAGAAGTTCTTATATCTGGTGGAGGAGAAAATAGTGAAGTACGACACAGGCGAAGGTAAACCCAAATGGGGTGAGGTTGCTGAGGAAGATTCCTGGTTGCTTGAAACTGTGGATCGGATATCCAAGTTGACGAAATCGGTGAATCTGACTCCTCCTCATCATCAATCAGAAGAAGAAAAACAAGCAGAAGAAGAGGAGGAGATCATTGCACGAAAACACTCGCTGGTGAACCGCATTGGTTCGATCCAACAGCGTGCGATGTCGTATTTGGAGGAAGACTTCCGGTTGTTAATGGACGAATCTAGAAATCCAATAACAGAATTGGATCCCGGAGGGAATAATAATAATAATCAGAATCAGAATCAAGACAACAAAGGGAAGAACGTGGCATCATCAGAGGATCAAGTACAAGATCCGGATCCGGATCATCATCAACCTGCTGAATCCGAAACGAACTTCCCGGGTTACCCGGATGAGGCCATTGCCACCCTGACCAAGATCGCTACAGAGATGATCTCCAGCGGCTACGAATCGGAGTGCTGCCAGGTGTACATCGTCTCAAGGAGAAACGCGTTTGAAGAGATCCAGCAGAAGCTAGGGTTGGAGAAAATCAGCATCGACGAGATGGTTCAGAAGGTGCAATGGGAGACTCTCGCAAGGGACATGATCCCCGCCTGGATCAACACCTTCAAGCAGTGTGCTGCCGTGTACTTCCCCGGAGAAAGGAAACTGGCAGAGGCGGTTTTCGCTGAGAATCCATCGGTTTCGGCAGGGCTCTTCAGCAGCCTCACCCGCGGCGTGGTGATTCAACTCCTCAACTTCGCGGAGGGCGCAGCCATGACAAAGCGCGCCGGCGAGAAGCTCTTCAAGATCCTTGACATGTACGAGACCCTCCGGGACTTGATCCCGGAATTAGACGGACTGTTTCCAGAGGAATCCGTCGAGGAGCTGAAGACAGAGATGTTGCTCGCCAAATCTAGGCTTGGCGAGCTGGCCATCTCCATCTTCTGTGACCTCGAGAACTCAATTAAATCGGAAACCGGAAGAACTCCGGTCCCCGGTGGTGCCGTCCACCCCCTCACCCGCTACATAATGAACTACCTCAACATAGCAGGCGATTACAAGGAGACACTTGAACAGGTTTTTAAGGAATACTCAAAGATCGAGCGCGCCGATTCCACCAGCAGGCCCCACCACGAAAATGAAGCCGGAGGAGGAAGCAGCGGCGCCGCCAATGTTTCGTCGCCATTCGCGGCGCAGGTTATGAGGGTGATGGAGTTGCTAGACTCAAGCCTTGAAGGTAAGGCGAAGCTGTACAGGGACGTTGCACTGAGCAACTTCTTCATGATGAACAATGGTAGGTACATTCTGCAGAAGATCAAGGCTTCCTCGGAGATGAGCAAGGTGATGGGTGACACGTGGTGCCGGAAGAGATCATCGGAGCTGAGAACATACCACAAGAACTACCAGAGGGAGACATGGAACAGGGTTTTGACATGCCTGACCCATGAAGGGTTGAGCGTGCATGGGAAGGTGCAGAAGCCAGTGCTGAAGGAGAGGTTCAAGAGCTTCAATGCTCTGTTTGATGAGATTCACAGGACACAGAGCCAGTGGGTTGTGAAGGACGAGCAGCTTCAGTCGGAGCTGAGGGTTTCGATATCGGCGGTGGTGATTCCGGCATACAGGTCATTCCTTGGGAGGTTTGCACAAATATTGGACCCTGGGAGACAAACTGAGAAGTATATAAAGTATCAACCTGAAGATATAGAGACTTACGTTGATGAGTTGTTTGATGGAAAGCCTCACCAATCCATAACTAAAAGGAAAACATAACCTTCAATTCCCTCACCACCACCAAGAGTAGATATATCATATATATCACACTTTTATGTTTTTTTTTTTTTTGGAAAGCAAACACTTTTATGTTTTATATTATATTTTTTCCCATAAAAAAAAATTGAAAACACCAGAAGAAGGAGAAGGAGTGCTTGCTTTTGGCATGCATGGTGGGCCAATAAAGAATGAAGGAAGAAAAGGCCATGCAATGTATGTATACGTGCATCTTGAAATGAAGCTTTGTTTTTGCATGGTTCTGTTGATGTTAGAAAACCAGAAAAGGTTTGGTCTAATGAATGCTTTTTACTCTTGTTTTGTAACGCAGGATTATAATTCGGTCAGTGTTTCAGCCAAGGGACCACCCTCTTGTGTTCCAAACTTCAAATCATACCACTTTTTTTACTATTATATTTTCCATTTAGTGCGTGTAATTTTATTTTCCTTTCAATCAGAATATGTGGTAAATACCTAATTACTCGCAAAAGATGATGATGGGTTATATATATGGTTAGTTGCACATTTTTACCCGGTGTAAATTTTTTGTTTCATCCTTTTCTTTTTACGATGAAACAAGATATATAAACTTTTTATATTGACTTAAAAAAACAATAGTTTAAATTCTATTATTATTTGTGTTTTGTGATTGCTTTTTGTCACATCAGTTTGTCAAGAGACCTCCCTTTACAACAATCATGTGCGGATATTAGAAATAATTAAAAGCAAGAATAAATTATATCAGATTGTCACGGAACCCCTTAATTAACAATCAATCAGTCGTCAAAAGACAAAATAAAATTTGTAGAATAAAGTATATTTTGTGTCTTTAACAAAAATTACATAGGCTATTTTAATCCTTTAGAAAAAGGTTGATTTGTGGTATTTCTGAAGTTTAAAATTGATTCAGTTAGTGGGAACTGTGAAACATTGAAATTCAAAAAAGATCCATATTAATCTCTCAAATAGACTAATATGGTTTTATTTTAAATTTTAAATGAACCACAAGTCTGGTTTTTCTGAAATTTAAAAAAGACCCATATTAGTCATCCAAATAGATAAATATGATTTTATTTTAAATTTTAAAGGAACCATGACTTTTTTATTTTAAAAGAATTAAATTGAACATGTGATATTTATTAAGGATCCAAAAGATGCTTTACTCAAATTTTTATATACAACAAATTCCATTACTCTTCCTCTTCCTCACATATTATCAAAAACACTAAAACCTTTTTTTGCCCCCGGGGCATAAGCGCAGCGGAAAGGGTCGAAGCCCTAAGGTCTTTGTGACAGCAATGCACCAAAGTGCCCGGGTTCAATTCCTGCCCTGCGTGCACATCCCGCGATTTACATCCTTTCAGGATTCCCAAGGGCGTGGGCTTGAGGAGCGGCAGAGATGGGCCGTAATCCAAAAAAAAAAAACACTAAAACTTTTGCCCCGGGGGCATAAGCGCAGCGGAAAGGGTCGAAGCCCTAAGGTCTTCGTGGCAGCAATGCACCAAAGTGCCCGGATTCGATTCCTTCCCTGCGTGCACATCCCGTGATTTACATCCTCTCAAGATTCCAAGGGCGTGGGCTTGAAGGGCGGCAGTGATGGGCCGTAATCCAAAAAATAACACTAAAACTTTTTTCCCCCAATGATTTGTCGAATACCATTTTTCTAAGGACTCAGAACTTTGTTGATAGTAATACTTTGTTCAAATATATCACCTGATTAGCTCTTCGCTGGTAAATATAAAGTAATCTCAATACCAACCTCTTATCCTGAAAATATAATCATAATAACGTTAAGCTCACAATTTATACATAAGTTATGATGCAATGCTAACATCTACTATTGTTAGCATACAGTGTTTTGACGAAATCATCCTCAAAAACCAATCATAAGCGTATCATAATTTCATAAATCAAAATTCAAAAATACTACAATAATCCTCAAATATTCAAACATAAAATTATGAATAATTTTCAAATCCAAAATACCCTTCCATAACATATCTTAACATCCAAATCATAAAAATAGTTTAATCAAACAAAAATATAATTTATCCTCAAAATACATGTCGTCAGAATCACTCAAATAATAATGTAATGTCGTTCGAATACTCAGACTTTAAAAATTTAAATATATCATAAATTTTCTAAAATTATTCTAAACCATCTCTCAAATATCATAAAAATCAATGATTAAGTAAAGCATATAATCTAACTCCATTTTATGTCATGTTGTCCCTTAAAACAAACGTTCTATATTTTTATTCATAAAGTCATTATATAATAAAATAATAAATTAAATTAAAATAATCAAAATAAATTTAAAGTAAAAGTTGGACTTACATAGTCCCAATTATTTACTTATAGGCAATGTTTTCAGACCCGAATCGATCATTGACCTGATCGTGGTACTGGATCTCTGATTCAATCGGTGGGTCACCATGCCATCACTATGTTAGAAGATGAACCCCTAAACTAGAACCAGCAAGAAAGGAGAAAACAAGGATAAACTGAAAAACTTGATTATTGATTTCTTGAATGAAAGAACATGTACACAAAGGGCTTATTTATAAGCATGATTGATTGCTGAAGATTACTCCTAACTGAATACTAACCACAGCCTAACAGAACAGTTATTTCCTAACCACCTAACTAATCATCTCCTAACTAACTATTATACACTAACCTTAGCTTGTACACGTAACATCACACACCCCTTCAAAAGGGACCTTGTCCTCAAGGTCCGATGGAAAAAAAAACAGGGGAACCTCGTGGGTCCCAAGTAAAACAAAAAATAAGAAACACAATCTGCTTGCATCACCATACAAAGCTTTGAAACAGCTCCAACCTTCGACATCCCTTGAACGTCATTTGTTGCTGAAAATGTAGCCATGAAGGAAAATATATGCAGAGCACAATCATTTGTTGCAGGTGAAACCTTTGGTGTCCTTTTAGAGAGCACTGCTATATTGCATAACCCACAAACAGCTAAGGCATGTGCCAATGAACCAGAAACAAGGGAACCTCCTGGGTCCCAAGGAAAATAATCCAGTCTATTATTCTGACTTGACGATGTCTGCAACATGTAGTGGAAAATGGACATCATGTAATGGAATAGAATCCACTGGTAGTGTTTTGAAAACCCAATGTAGAACTTGTTGTGAATCTCTATAGCTAAAAATGTGGGTATGCTTTGGAATGTATCAAACAACCCTTGCATCCCCGCTAACGAACGACCTGGCTCAAAGGCAGGAATCTCCATGCGAACAGACTTCGACAGCGAACACGGATCAACCGTTTGGGTCCTTCTATGGAGGTGTGGAATTGAGTATTTCTCAATTGGATTAAGGGACGACGGGGAGATAAAAGACTTCGACGGTGAAAGCAGATCAACCGTTTTTATCTTTCCATGGCTGTGTGGGTTTGGATGTGTCTCTGTTTGATCATGAGAAGGCTTAAAGGGAAAGAACTTCAACAGCGGCGGATCAACCGTTGGTGTCCTCTTGTGATTTTCTTGAACCACAACGAAAATTGATTGCTGAGAGAGCTGATGAAACAGGGGACGCGGACCCGCTGAATCACTTTGGTCATAATCTTGCACTGAAACTGGTTCTTGAGAAGATGGTTGAGTAGGTGGTCGTATGATCATTGGTCTCATAGCAAGAAGATGCTTATTGATATTTCGCAACTGAGCAATCAACCAAGAAAACTGTTTCTGGTTTTCATCGAACCCCTGTTCCATCTTCAACTTTAAAGAAGCAAGGTCTTTGGCAATTTTCTGCAGAGCAACATCATCTTTGGAGAGCTGCTGCATTTGTATGATCTCGATGGTGTTCATTATGAAAGCACCAATGTTAGAAGATGAACCCCTAAACTAGAACCAGCAAGAAAGGAGAAAACAAGGATAAACTGAAAAACTTGATTATTGATTTCTTGAATGAAAGAACATGTACACAAAGGGCTTATTTATAAGCATGATTGATTGCTGAAGATTACTCCTAACTGAATACTAACCACAGCCTAACAGAACAGTTATTTCCTAACCACCTAACTAATCATCTCCTAACTAACTATTATACACTAACCTTAGCTTGTACACGTAACACACTACGCCACCGCCACCATCATCTCCGCAGCCACTGCTGTCACCACCACCACCATGTCATCACCAACACCACCACCGCCACCGCCACCACTATGCCGCAGCCACCATTATCACCACCACGCTGCCAATCACCCCCCCCCCCGGCCGCCACCACCTCCACCACCACCATCGTTATATGGAAAGAAAAGTGATGATCCAAAAAAAATTATGCTTAATAGAAATTATTTTTATTATATCATTTGTTGTGTTATCAACACAATTCTCGTTTTCAGAATAAAAATAGAACATGTTATCAAACATATTTTTTCTCAGAAACTGTTCCAAGGCACACACAAAAAATTGTTTCTTTTAAAAAACAGTGTCGGAGAACAGAATGGTTCTCATGCACACCCAAAGAGTACTAGGCTTGGATAAAAATAAAAGCCTAATCCAAAAGTATAAAATTTAAAAATTAATATTTTTAAAATTTAAAACTGAAAAAAATGTTAATAACTATAAGTACTACTAATCTACTATAACTACGTCAAAGTTGTGATTCTCCTTTTACCAAGTGCTACTCTAATGTGAGAGGGGGCAATTTTCAATATAGTGGAAGTTTGACTCAAAAATATAATTTAAAAGTACATAATTAAACTATTCTCGAGCCCCTCAATTTCATTTTTGAAAATAATTTTCTAGAGACTTTCTTAGCACCTTCCTGTCATTGTCTTTTCATTTCACATCTTTATTCTCTCTCTTCATTTCACCTCTTCTTCATTTCTCCTTCTTCGTTTTCTGGTTGCTGGAAGTATAAACAAACATTTTCTTCATTTCTCTTCCTTCTTTGTTTTTTTAGTTGCTAGAAAGGGCAAAAGTCGAGTATAAACCAACAAGGAAAAAAAGCGAAGCAGTTCGCCATTTG